AAAAACAAAAAAAAAAAAAAAAAAAAAAAACAAGCCAAAAAAAACTAGTTCTTGGACACTATTGCTCTTGTCTTTAGTGTCTGATCTTTACTACAATGAATAGATGATGCCTATAACCCTAGTATAAATGAAGTATAAGCCTATCATCCTTTTTTTTTAAATGTTTTTGAGACTAGGTCTTGCTATATGTAGTTCAGCTGGCAATGAACTTACTCCGTAGCCCAGGCAGGACTCAAACTCACAGATATCCTTCTGCCTCAGCCTCCCAAATTCTGGGATAGCAGGTGTGTGCCACCACACCCAGCAAAAGCTTATTATCCTACTGTTATCCTTATTGGTTTATTTTAAATGATTAACACCTTGTGCCAGATGATTGATTAAAACTTTAAAGAACCCTAGGAACTAGCTTCTAATTGTTCTTACTTTTCTGCTTTACTCTTTATTGTTAGTATTTATAGAAAGATGGAAGTTGAGCTTTCCTAAGAAGTGTCTGATGTCAATGCCGTGAGAGTCACAAAAGAAATGAGAGGGTCATTTCAGTAGTAGAAATATGAAAGAGGGAGACACAAGGATGCCCAGGCTGTTAGAGAGAGTGGTGTAGAAGGGAAGTCACCGGGCCCCTCATGCACTCTGAAGACCTTGAGCTCTGCAGTTGCAGAGGGCAGGCACACTGGTGGCTGTCCTGAAAGTCCAGCTGCCAACAGCGGTGGATTCGGGCACCTCAGGTCAGAATTTGCAAATGACACACAGACAATGGGTTGTTACACATTCAGTCCGAAATGCGTGCGGGTGACAGGAAAGCGCTCCTCCCAGACTCCGCTGTCCTTGTTTGTTAATAGCGACCCAGCCATTATTAGGTCCTGCAAAAATGATCTTCGAATTATATAGTGTGAAAAATACATCCTTGTCTAAACAATAACATTGGCTCACAAGGATATTCAGATAATTTATTCTTGGGTAAAAGGGGCAGGTTGGCTACTGTTACAAACTTCAAAGTCATTTTGTCTTTAACCACACAAATGTGGTTTCCAAATGGGGCAAATGGGACAGGGGAGCCACACCCAAACATGTTTTTTGAAGGTGCTGGGCTTTTTTTCCCCTAATATTTTTCTAGAATTTTCAACCTCATTGTGTGTGATAATTCCTACCTGACTGTATTACACCAAACCGTGTTCTTTTCTTGCTTCCTGCTGTGGTAATGGGAAGTAAACAAGGCTGATATTTACAACTCCATTTTCTTACTTGCTGAAATATTCTGCGATTTTGTTCCCTGATTGGATTCACACAATTACTGGTTTGCTATTTTCCAAGCTATTGAGTTCAGGTTGCAACTAGATCAGAATTCGACAGCCGGGGTTGCTCACTGGAATGATACCTTCCTGCGGCATAAGTCCCACATTCTCATCACTGATTTCCAATAGCAAAGGGCAACCTAATTTTTTAGATCTCAGAGCTCTCTTGCATATGTTTATTACATCTAATGTGAAACGCTTATTTGGAAAGGAACTACAAGGAAACAGGAGACTATCTCTTCACACAGGTATCATACAAATCGCTCTTGAGGATATTTCTGTGTCTTCTAAAAATGCAAAACTCCATGAATCCGCACATATTTAATCCTAAGGCTGTAGTATGATAATTTTAGGGAAAGGAATGACTTGACAGTGTGTGATTCTGTGATACACAGAAGAGTCTTGTATCTTGTACCTGAAAGGAGAACATGTCAGAATATTTGCAACGATGGCACAGTAGCTCTTTTTCTGTTACTATAACACAATAGCTACAGCAAACTAACTTTATAAAGTGAGGAGGTTGATGTAGCTCACAGTCTTGGAAGCTCAAAGTCCAAACGGCGTAATGCTGGCTCTACGACATTCCCAAGGCTGATGGCCAGAATACATGGGGAAGGAAGAGATCACATCTCCAAAAAAGGAAGTCAGAGAGTGGCTGAGGTCCCACGATGCCTTGGAGGGCAGGATCCCACTTACCTAAGAAGCCCCCCATCAGGGCCACCTCTTAAACGCATGAAGGTCCAAATTCCCAACACACAACAAGTAACATCCACCACCTCGCAGCTGGAGTTTGTCAAGTTTGTACTAGAAGGGTGCTAGTCTTCAAACTGGCTATTTCCTCTGATGTCAAGAGAGACACCTTTGAGAGGCTTCCAGATAAGGCGCATATGTGTGTATGTGTGTGAAAGTTCTGAGGTCACTAAAAGTATTATTGCTGTAATGCACGCATCTCTTCCTTGCTTGCGGGTTCACATTAAAATAAGGGGGTAAATAAACTTAAATAGAGGTTCAGCTGCAATTGTAAATGAGTTTCGATCTGCACTGCTCATACAGAGCTGTCAGATCTTGTTGTCTGAGCCCCTGTCTACCGGAGGACTTGGTACACTTTTGTTGGTGTTGCCAGGCTGGCTTTGTCTGAGGATTCTGAGGAACTGTCCAGCATCCTTTGAAGTACTGAGTAGCATCAGTTCATCTCAAAGATCACTTGTGTCTAGTAGCAAAAGGTCCAGAAGTCAACGTCTGATATATGTAACTTTAAACTTGCAAAAGAACTGAATTGTATTCATTCTGGGCCTCACCTTGGGATACATAAATGCTCTGATACCTTCATGAATCAGTATGACCTTTATAATGTCTTCAGTGACTAGTGGGGGGGGGACACCAGCAAAAATGCTACAGAAAATATTTCACACTTTACTTTGTATTTTAGTGAGCTACAGCATAATTGCTAAAGCATATTTAAAATGCTATCAAGAGTTACCAGGTATATTTTGAGTCTCCACTTGCTCTCTCTCTCTCTCTCTCTCTCTCTTTTCTTCTTTATGGTACTAGGAGGATTGAACCAAGGGCTTTTGCACTGAGCTACATCCCAGCCCTTTTTAAATTTTTTCTTCTGGACAGAGACTTGCAAAGTCACTACGTTGTCCCCACTGGGTGTGGATTTTCAGTGCTTCTGCCTCGGCTTCACAGAGTGCCGGGATTCCAGGTGAGCACTACCACACCCAGCCTTTATTTCCTTTTCTAAAGGTCGCATGACCTGGGTTCCTCTTTCCAGATTGTTCTGTGCACCACCACTCACTTCTATATTTAAGTTGTAAGCTGTTACTTTCCGAAAGCCCCAACACTACCCCTGGCGATGGTTTTCTCATTTACACATACTACATTCTCTTAAAACAATCAGTGCTTCTCCAAGTGGAAATAATTGGAAAGCATAATTTCTGAGTGGGTCCTATTCTCTGCAACAGTTCAGTCTTGAAGTATTTCTCACTCTGTATTTTCAAAGCTTTTAGTTCAGTTGCCAAAAAAAATAAAATGCATTGAAAAAATAAACCCTTTTTTACGTTCCCTTGGGCACTTCAAGCAAACCATGAGTCGCTTGAAACAGAATCAAGTTTCTCTGAGAGGGTATTTTTCCATTGTTGTTGGAAGAAATGGGTTAAATAAGAAATAGAAGGAAGTAAAAAAAAAAAAACCTAAAATTAATTTTATTAAACCCTAAAGAATGGATTTCCAAATATTTTGCCAGAAACATCAGTTCTTCACATTCCAATCTTATGAAAAAGAATGGATTTGCCATATCCTCATAACCTTACTAATTTGAAGATGTTATTAGCAGTAACATTTTCTGCATCAGATTTTGCCATCCAAATTCCTTATTTTGTGGTCATTGCCAGATGATGGTTCATCTTATCATCTTCCACTGAGGAAGACTTACCTTGTGCTGTTACTCTTCATACTGAAAAACTGTGTATACACCTATGAGATCTGATCAGAAGCTATATGAGTTGTTGGGGCCAATGAATTAATGAGCTACACTTGATCTTGGCCAAAAGGCCGAGACGCCATGATGAATTATGGAGCTTATTGGGGCAGAAGCCATGTTTTATTCCTGACTGTATCCCTACCCTTAACTTCTAGCTCAGCACCAGACATACAACAAGTCCTCAGTAGTTAGCTGGTGAATTGAAAATCAATCATATTTTAATTGTAATTGTTTATTAAATATCATAACCAAATTATTAGATCTATCCTATTGAGCTACATATTTTTATCCTCCAGGATTTGATGCCAATTTCACATTTTCTTGATTAGGGAATTGAATGCAAAATTCTAAAGACCTTGAGAAAATAGTTAGTTTTAAAGAAAGACTTCTCCCCAGGCAATTTTTCTTGGTCTTTACAGTAAAAGTCCTCACCCACGTTACCAGACCGCTAATAAACCTTGACCTGGTCCTCTCGTGTCAATTTTCATGCTTCATCATGAGAACAAAATGAGTAATGTTACATTAAAGGACTTTCTGTTCATTCATAACCTTGAAAGCCCCCAGAGTCCCAATATAGTGGCTTTACCCCAGGAATTTTACTTTGTGATGTAGAGTACATTTTATAATTAATCAGCATGGAATGAAAGGTAAGCATTAAGATCAAGTTATTTCCAGCATAAAGGGATGAAGTGAGAAGTTAAAATAAGATAACCCAACATTTTTTCTTAGATTGATGATAACCATATGGAAAGTACGGTATTCACAAACTGTAGAAGAACAGAATAAACAGACACTAAGAATGGAGAGAGAGAATCATTAGATGCTCAAGTAATTGTTTCAATAAGGAAAGGCCTTTTTGATATTAACAACAAACAAAAACCTTGTTGGGTAATAAAGGCTTTAAAGTTTTTGTTTTTGTTTTTTATCACTTTGATGTATTAGATTCCCTGAATAACAAAAACTAATATCTTATTAATATGAAACCACTAACGCCATAATGAGTGTTATGAAGTATTAAAATCATTATCCGCTGAGATAATGCTAGATAATCGCTAAGCCGAGTGAACGCTTCAGCCTGAACCAACAGCGTGCTCGCGACATCCATTTGGGAAGATTGGTCTGGAGTGCTTGTGGCCTATTTTGATGGCATGTTTCCATGACGAAGTCCTCACATAAGCAGAACTGACCATCTTTCTTTTCTGTCTTAAGGAAATGATACGCGAAAAGCGCGATCCCCTCACCCGTGCTTCCCAGTACCACCAGAAAATGGAAAGTCACTGTTGGGACAGATGTTTGTTCCAAGAAAATGGGTGGGTTATTTTCTCCTTTAATTTGAGTTTTGCAGCTTTGTCAATTGTTGGAAACACAGCATTGCTACTTGAATTCAGAAATCAGATTACCCAAACTCAAGTACATACAAATTCTGAGAGCCACAGCCGTGTAAAGCATGATCTTTTTTTTTTTTTTTTTTTTTTTTTTTTT